TTACATATTTCCAGAAACTTTTGACATTTCAACATGATAAATAGCCGATTTTTACTACCCTTCAGCTGCGATCTACCACTTAACTCTTAAAAGAACTAGATTTCGTAATTTGACATACCAGGAACGTAGTGAAACGGTGTATATAAACCGCTAATAAAATCTTGAATCTGGTTAGCTGAGAATGTTACCACACTACATTTCTTTACCACTACCAGATTTTATGTGACACAGCTTCTAATTTGTTAACACTAATTTTTTTTTATTTTTGCATTGATCTATCATAATATGAGTACCGAATACCCTCGCGCGAAAATTCTGACTTATACTCAACTATAAATTAGGTTTGCATGACTAGTAATGCCCAATAAAAATGCATCTCTACCAAAAGATCGGCCTCTCTTAAATCGTACCCTCTTCTTCACAGTACTACACAGTAGGCTCTGCGAAGCACGGGCATGGGCACTGTTTTAATAGCAAGTGTGCCGGCACTTGCAGAGCCCTATGACACAGTACTCTCCAAGTACAAGTCAATTGGATTTAAACGCTAATCTACGACATACCATATACTAGGTCACTAATAATAACTTTAGCATAACAACCTTGAATTATACAGACTGCACTTGATTTGCTTCAGAAAAGGAGCCCTCTATATAATCCTAGTATAACCATCAAAGGACGATTTTCATATGATTGGTTGTTAAGTCTACCTAATTGTACATTATTTATACAGTTAAAGTATTTCTTTAAAAAAAATAAAACTAGAGAATAAATAAAAAAAAGTATATAGAAAATCTCACGTATTAGGGTTAGAGGAAAATCTCATTGTTTTAGAGAAGTTAGCATAATAACAACTTAAACCAGATCGAACTAGGTTATTACCATGCTAACTTCTTTTAAACAAAAAGGGATTTTGATCATTTTCAATAGTGGGAGTTCTATAATTCCGATAATACCTTCTATAACTATTTTTTCATTTTTCTCTATAGTTTTTTTTTTAAAAAAAAAAATTAAGTAGATTTAAACAGAAATTCATATAAATTCGTCCTATGA